AGAAGAGATCAGTGAGGAGCCAAATGATAGGAATACAACACTAGGTAGAAATAAACCCGATGACAGAGTTGATTTTGGATTTATAGTGGAGGAGGCGTTTCCTTTCTTCACTCCAGGGCTTGCTGCTCCCAGAACCTTTTCCCAGTCTTCATATTGACTACAGTTTCAATCTTGTGCCACCTGATTTGGCAGACATATCTGATTTATTCCCATGATGCTCTAAGAAATCCGAGGGTATAATTGCAGGCTTTTAGACAAGCCATTAAATTGCAGGAAATATTGAACCCCCGGCATCCCAGGGGAGAATCGCAGTCTGTGGAAGGATCTCATTACACATTAAAGTCCAACACCAGCCAAAATGTACTCCCCATCACAGGAAGGGTCAGGATGTGAAACGAGAGGAAATCTGTGCAGTGGGATGACAGACATCAGAAAATGTCCCACAAATAATTTGCTGTACTCTGCCAGTGCCCTAAGGGTCACCATACTTGTTACAGTCTGACCACACAATCTTTGTACAATCAACTTTGGATTTACCAAAACTATGTAATATGAGGACCTTCCTAATCTATCCAATCAATTTGTATCTAGTCTGCCAGATCCTCACACTAAATCATTCTTGGTAGATCTAAAGGAGATTGTACAATCTCCTTTAACAGTTTGTATGGCAAGCATTACGGAAACAGGTTCTCTAATGTAGACAGAAGAGATTTGAACTTTGGAGACTTGTGGAGACCTGGGTCATAATGACTGTACATAGGCTGAAAAAAGATATGTGTTGTCCTCGTTTTCTGTTTCCTTGGTGTCTTCGTCTCCTTTTGTCTGCTTCCCCCTCCTAGTTTTGTGTTACTTGTGTTAATTTGGGAAGAGTCTCCTGTTATATAAGACCTGCTTTCATGGCTATTAGGTACCTACTGTATATCTGGTACTTGTTGTTATAGGACTTAAGTGGATGTAAGGGGATGTACTCTCCTTTCATTGTATTAGTTATTGTATGATCTTGTACTTGTTCTTTTCGCATTGTTCATTTCAGTTATGTTGCCCTTGCAAGGACTATGCGGGTTTATCGGTATACTTGTGTGATGGACTGAACCATCACTGGGGCTGTTGGAGGAGCCTGGGGGCTAGCCTCCTTCCTGCATATTTCCCCTGACATTACATTTAAGTGACCCCGTGCCCATTATAGGTACAGTGTGTGAATCCAGCAACCCAAAAGGCGTTAACTATGGAATGAGACTCCCAATGAACTTGTTGGTCTGTTAGTCAAGTCCATTTGTGTGATTGGGTTAACAATGGGATTAACTTGACACTAGATGTAGCTGAGTGGCAACATATGATAGACACTCAGGAGATAACCCAATCACACAATGATTCCGATGACTGTAAGGCTGAACGGGCAGTGTGCGCTTGCGCACACCGGCCCGTGCGGCATTTATCTTACGAACATGCCACACACCCGCCGACAATCGTACGATTCTCGGTGGGTTTTCGAACATATTCACAAGATAAAAGTCATGCGACCTTGCAGTAGGAGAGGTCGCACGCCTTCCACACACCTTGCGATAATTGTACAATCGAGGGATTTCCCGCGATTATCGTACGATTATCGCAAGGTGTGTTGGCACCTTAACAAGTTCATTGGGAGTCTCAGTCCAGAGTTAACCCATTTGGTGTTGCTGGATTCACACCCTGTACCTATAATGGGCACGGGGTCACTTAAATGTAATGTCAGGGGAAACATGACACATACACATGACACAGGCACACATAAACCTGGGATAATAGTTCCTTGTAACCCCAAGAGGTCTGAGGGGGGTCTCCATAGTCCTAGGTCCATAGTCAGTAGGAAGGAGGCTAGCCCCTATGCTCCTCCAACAGCCCAAGTGACGGTTCAGTTGGAATAAAAATAATGCAATGAAAAAAGTTATGTGACCCTGTTGGTTCCCAATTTTGTTTTTATATAAAGCACCTGCCATCCACTGTGCATCAGCACACTAGAAAAGGGAGGAGAAGCGCTAGGAGGCAATCAGGTTCAGCTGCAATGCACATGTGCTGACGGAACACGCTGATAGGAGAAGAGAGCACAGTGAGCAGAAGAATTAATCATCAGTGTGCTGCTGCTCCCTATTCCCCAAAGAGCAAATGGCCTGTAGAACCTCCAATCAGAGATGATTGGAGGATCTACAGCCGAGTGATAAACAAATAAGTTACATTTCTGTTAATAGGTAAGATACTTGAATACATGTTTAAGATGTAACTCCAGAGTTTATTGTAACTTTAAGGTTATAGTAAAGGTCGATGGTTGGAATATCAGTTGTATAATGTAAACAATACAACCTGTTTCCTTGGTGTATTAATTAAAGCTTTTATATGATGCCATTTTATTGACATGAGTTTTTGATCCTATTTATAGTAAGGTTCAAGCAGTGATGTGTTTTTGTGTTATTTGACAATGTTGGTGGCTATATAGAGGACATTGATGCTGTTTTCTCATGCAGCCTGCGTGTCACACTTGTCCCCTCTCCCTGCCCGTTCTATAGAGTCGTCTCTGTGCACACACCAGTAAACACACACACACCAGTAGGGAGAGAGAGAGAGAGAGAGAGACAGAGGCTCATTACACAAGAATAAGTTTGCATTGAAGAGACAAGCACACAGCTCTGGTCCTTCCTGACCCATCCTCATCCTCATCGCGGAGCAGTAGAGTCGTACTGAACGACACCGGGAAGGCACCTGGACTGTCTGGACGGCTCACACCCAAACTTGGGATTTATAAGAAACCGGGAGAGAGAAGAGAGAAAGCCCGCAGGATCGGTGCCGGGGTGACCGAGGCATTAAAGTAAGCCATTAACTTCTTCAGCACCAGAGACAGAGCACAGTCATTTCTTCTCATAATTGATATAATTAATATTATTGTCTTTGCTTTATTACAATAAAGGGTTGTTCTGGGTTAGCCATGGATAGGAGAGGAAATATCCAGGCAATGGCTTTCATTGGCCAACTGAATATATTTTGAGGTGCAAGCTTTCAGAAAGATGAAAATGAAGTGTACAAGTAATAATGATGGTGATAGCATCACTCTTCTTAGTTTATGTGGTGACATTTAGCGGCACATTACCATATAAAAAGCATTGCATGGCTTCTTTCTATGGGAAGCGTAATGATCATAAGCATTGTGCATCATATTTCCACTTTCATCAGTTCAGCAGACAGAACTTTGAAATAAACTGCTAATTGGTTGCTGCACTTTACACTTGTTGGTATGATTTTAAATAAAGGATTAGTCCAGTGGTAATAGTCATACGGTAGGTGGAGGCTAGTCTTTTAAAGTGACGCTAAGCTCAGGAGTTAAATCTTAAAAATAAATTCAAGTACCCTAACTATTAATAAAAATGTATCTTATTTGTGTATCACTCGGCTGTAGATCCTCAAATCATCTCTGAATTCATACTGACACTGTCCTTCCTTCTGGAGGGTGGCTACTTTTCTTCACCATGATCCCTGTGTATGTTGTAAAGTAGTCACCGCTCCAAGCTCACTCCTGTGATGGACTACAATCACATGTTTAGTTTACTCATTTGTATTGAGATTGCAGTCTATCACATGAGCAAGCTTGGAGCGGTGATTACTTTACAACACACACAGGGACCATGGGAAACAAAAGTAGTCACCCTCCAGAAGGAAGGACAGTGGCAGCACCAATTCAGAGATGATTTGAGCATCTACAGTCAAGTGATAAGTTTTAAGTTAGTCCCTGCTATTATTCCTGACTCTGTTCTGGAGGTTTTGGGTTTTCACACTCAGCTTTGTGTGCCTGGCGTGTGTGCCTACAGTTCTACATTCCCTATAATATAAAATACATAAAAATCCAGTAGGGATGGGGGGAACCCCTCATAATTGGCACAGCCGGTGTATATACCCAGGAATGCAGCACAGAGATGGTGGGGGCCCCTCATAATGGGCTCAGCAGATGTGTGGACTTGGGAACTCAGCACAGGGATGATGACAGTCCCTCATAATGGGCACAGCAGGTATTAAGACACGGGAACTCAGTACAGGGATGGTGGAAACCCCTCACAATGGGCACAGCAGGTGTTTAGATTCGGGATCTCAGAACAGGGATTGTGGGAACCCCTCCTAATGGGCCCAGTTGGTGTGTAGACTCTGGGACTCAGCACATGGATGGTGGGAGCCCCCATGATGGGCTTAGCAGCAGTGCAGAGCAAGGAACTCAGTGCAGAGATGGCGTAAACACCTTATGATGAGCATAGAAAGTGTACAGACCCGAAAACTCAGTGCAGAGATCTCACTAATAGAGCCCTCGGAAAAAGAAGAGACTCTCAGGGGGTTTAACTCTCCAGCCTCCACCACCACCACTGAAATATCAGTTTTGAGTGGCTAGATTAACAAATGATGAAGGGCACCCTGTTCATGAAGTGGAGTATGCCAGGGCAGCCAATCAGAATATAGGCAATGACAGTTTGGTTTGCACATGGCTCTGAGTTATTAAAAGATATGATTACTTGTATGTATAAATATATATATATGTTATATTACCCACTCCATAAAACTGTAAAATGCAGACACTGGTCTCCCCAGGCTCGGAAGAAGTGCCTAAGCTGCACATATACTTCAGGCCTGACTATAGAGAATAATGATCACGCCAGGCATGGGCACCTAGTTTCGGACGGTGACGCCCATGATTTTCTATAGCTCATCACTGTCAGTGGAAGGATGCTGCAGGAACATAGACTGCCCCAGGCTGGGAGAATGCCATGTTTGCAAATAGGTCTGTGTGTGAATAATATTACTTTCTATGCCAGGGATGGAAATGCAGAAGTTCTAAGGCAGCATTTATCGAGTGTCCTAACAAACTGAAATTGTCTGATAAAGTAATGCCGCATGTAAACTCTGGGGTTCAGTTCTTTGCACGCCGTAAAGAAATCAATCGACTTATTGAAATATATAAAGTTCTGGAAAGTTTTAGGGCAACGACCAACGCGGCTGTACGGCAGGTTGGAAGCTTTCTGTTCAAGATCAACTGTAATCTGGCGCGGTTTTCAGTCATTAATAGCATCCCAAAATTTCCTGCAAGGCACTAAAATTCACTTGCACTGATGACAATTGAATTGAATGATGACACGCTGTGCCCTGGGAGTTTGTCTTCAAGGCTTTGTGTGTTGTGGAAGAGGATTAACCTAAATAACAGCTGCTCTTCTCCCCTGTCCTGGAGGCGCTTATAATGCAGGGTAGATATACTGTATATCGTACACAGAGACATGTCTATATTTATGTAAAAATATTCCATTTAAAGTGATTGCAGTAAAATGGGGGGAAAAAAAAACTTGTAACAAAATCAAGTAAATGTAAAGCGTAACTGGATGACATTTCGTTTGCTGAAGCACCGTGGGTCATAAAGTATTACCACTTCTTGTCTACATTCACTCCGGTGATGTCTGCATGGCATTTCTCAGGGTGGGTTCTCTGAAGGTGACAACAGTGGACCATGCCTGTGTAATGGGTGTTGAAACTGCTCCTTGTAGTCTCCATCGGAAGCCTGCGTGACAGGGTGACAACACAAGACCAGCACAAAGTGTTGTCATCCGTGGCGGAAACTATCGCCATAGCGACCCAGGCGGCCGCTATGGGGCCCCGGGCACAGGGGGGCCTGGCCAGGACGAGGAACAAAGGCGTCCCCCTGATGCTGTGCGGACCGCCGGGGTCGCTATGGCGTCGCAGGCTGCTGGCTGTCACTGGTGGCTGTGAGAAGGAATGCGCCACTGTCCAGATCACTGACAACTTGTCAATGTTTTGTGCAACGGTGTGTTCCTCTTCACAGCCGCTGCTGAGTCAGTAAAAGCCAACAGCTGCGGTGGAGGAGGACGGGGCCCGGTGTGGGCAGCAGAGGAGGCGGGGCCCGGCAATGGAGGAGGAAGAGGCCAGGCCCGACGGCAGAGGAGGCGGGGCCCGTCTGCAACCAGGAGGAGGTGGGGCCCGGCGGTGGAGAAGGCTGACAGCCTTCTCCAGTGAAACAAATAGACTGTGTATATTGCCTGTTTCAGGTCACGTTTGGCCTGGAACAAACCATCTAACTTATTTCATCACGATGTCTGTCTGAACTTGATGGTACTCAGTCGGGCACTAAGTGGTGTAGGGGGATCCCTGTAGCCCCCAAAACGCGTAGGCTTATGTCACTAAACACGAGTAAGGACTATTCTGGACTGGCATCTTTATCATCCAATTTCTTACCAGGTTCTAATGGCTTTATTGACAAGGGTTCTAATCTTTCCCCTTGCTATAAAAACCTGATACAAGTTTTGGCTTTAATACGTCTGTTCCGCATCACTTTTATAACTAGAAATGTATATTGAACACTTTGTTGAAGAGCAGGAGACCCTATTAGGCGTGTATCTAATTCCTCTGATCACTTTTCATTCTCAGCCTCCTTTTTTGTTTTTGCCTCCGGCCTCTTTTATCTCCGTTCCCAGGTATAGACCTTGTGCTCTCTGCACAGGATGCCAATATGTCCACAGCAGCTTCATGGTATCTCAGAGCATTACCGAACAACTCTCTGCTGGAGAATATATAAACATGCTTAGAAAACACAGAAGGGAGCAAGATAAAAAAAAAAAAAAAACATGGCCCTGGTAAAATTTGCGGGAGAATGAATAATTTAAAAAAAAAAAACATTTTGTCCTTGAAAGCAAAATTTGGAGGCAAATATAAAAGGGAGTCTTTATTCTAGTTATTTATCATTAAAGATAATTAAATACCCTTAAAATGTTACAAATAGGAATACCAGAATCTGTATATACTGTATATATAATAATGTATTATATAATTGAGGTGCCGAGAATGAGACTTTCTCCTGCATCTCGGCCTTCAGTATGCTATTAATAAGGTGTTCTTATTCCTCGTATGGGATGAGGGAACACACAATCACAAACCATTCCTGAACAATTGCAGAGTTGGAAGGAGCTTAGCTGGTTAGCAGGGTATTTCTTGGCCTTGTGATGATAAGGAAATCTGCAGAGCGAGCACAGCGGTCAGCCAGTGTATTCTCTAATAGGATTGTGCTGATATTATTAGACGGGCTTGTACCTGTGTCCCTCATACCAGTTGGACTTACAGGCTTAGAGCCCGTGACCCCCACCACAGTACGGCCATTTGGCTGACTCATCCTGGACAACAGGAGACTGTGCATATAATCCAGGAAACGCTGCAGCTGTGCCAAAGTCACAATGTCCACTTAGTGTAATGAGTTTCACGGTGTTTCCGGTGAGCACGGAGCCTCTTGTTACATGATCTCTTGCTACGACATCTCTCTATCAAGCTCATAGCTCTGGTTGTAGTGGGCTCTGAGAGAGCAGAAAAAAAGCCTTGGATTTAGAGTCATTAAGGCTACAAGGCTTTTGGTAACTAGGCATGGGGGTTAGCACTTCTGCCTCGCAGCACTGGGGTCCCTGGTTTGAATCCCAGTCAGCACACTGTCTGCATGGAGTTTGCATGTTCTCCTTGTACTTGCGTGGGCTTCCTTTGGATACTCCAGTTTTTGCCCACACTCCAAATACATGCTGGAAGGTTAATTGACTTCTGCCTAAATGAGCCCTAGTATGAGTATGAATGTATATGACATAGGGACCTTAGATTGTAAGCTTCTTGAGGACAAGGACTGATGTGAATGTAATAAATAAATCATAATAAATAATGGGATTGAAGCCACAGGGCCAGTTGGGGACAGGTGGAGCTGATATAGGTACACAGTTGTCATCAATTTCTGCAGCTTTGTTGAAGATTCTTCCATGAAGACCCTACTGACTTTGCTGCCCACAAGGTAGA